GTGAGGAAGCATACGGAAGAAAACAGCAACATTAACAGAAAAAGTAAAGAAGTGACTTTTTCGAAACCCGCGTCGCAGTGGTCGAAAAATGGCTCGTGAGCTGAACATATCGCAATATTCCATTCGGCAAATATTAAAAAATGAGCCATTGAAATTCCAAAAAGTGTAAGAACTTACACCGCAATAGAAAAAAAATAGATTTAAAACAGCTAAAGAGTTGCTTCGTTTGGCCGATCGTTGCCCAGCAGTTTGTAAACAAAAAAAATGATCGTCTTTACTTGCCAAAGAGGTCAGCTGAAAATGTACACCTTCGATTGGCCACCAGAACTCAAACGCCGGCCATGGTGATGATGGCCCGTCATAATAGCCGATGGTCGCCCTCCGCACGCATTAATCGACCGTGGCATCAGAAATAATTCCGAATATTATAGCGAAAATATTCCTGAGGGACATTCCAACAGGACTCAGCACCATCGCACTAAGCACGCGCCACCCAAGAATGGTTACAAAATTAAGTTCCGCGCTTCATTTTCAGCGCACAGTGGCCACCAATATCTCCGGATACCAATCCGTTGGACTATTGTGTCTGGAGTATTTTGAAAAGCAAGTATGGCGCCTCAAGCAAAGTGTCGATGCCCTCATGCAAGTTCTTCGCCGGGAATGGGCCTAAATACTACAGAGCAACATACGAGCAGCGTGTGACAGTTTCATTGGCCGTTTGAAGGCCATAATTCGTGCCGAAGGTGATCAATTCAAAAAAATCTAAAATTATTCTAAAATAGCATAATTTCCGACATTTTTGCTTTTATTCAATAAAATTAAAAAAAATAAATAAAAATTATGGCGTTTGACTTTGTTACAATTTTTTCATATCACACTGTATATGTTCACCAAATACCAAATTGTACCAAATATGGTGCTGTTTAATCCTTTCGTGCACTTGAGGTAAATATTTCCAAAATAACCACTTTATCACAAACTTACCAGCAACATGAACCCGAATACAAAATTTCAAAATCCAGCTCCATAAGCTCACTCTGAACCAAAGTATGACGAAATTAGTATTGGTAACATAAATTTCCAAAATCCAAGTTTTAGGTTCGAATTTCCAAAAACGCTTTGATACATCTCACCTGCAATCCATCAGTATATCTCTTTTCCAAATTCTATCAAATTCCGGTTGTGCAATAGAAAATATCCAAATATTACAACTTTTCGTATCCTTTGTATTCGAGCCTTATTACTCGGATACGCACGCAAGATGACGTGCAAAATTTCAAGATCTAGCCGATACGACTCAGTCATTTATTTCACTCCATTTTTATACCCTACACCACAAGGTGGTCAGGGTATTATGTCTTTGTGCATTTGTTTGTATCAGGCAAAAGTAAACGAGATAGACACATAGTTCCTTTTGATGATCTGAGTTGATTTATGCATGGCAGTCCGTTTGTCCGTCCGTCGGTCTGTCTGTCCATGTATTCTTGTGAACAAAATGCAGGTCGCATTTATTATCCGAGTGAGATGAAATTTTCCAAACAACATTTGTTTGGCCCAAGGACGAACCCCATTGAAATTGGAGATAATCGGTAAAAATTCAAATATAGCTTCCATATATATCTTCGTCCGATTTGTCTTTTATTGTGCACCAAACGTGTAATATCAGCCCGAATAGTATGGAATTTTGCACAGACAACCAAATTAGGCCTGAAAATATGTATGCCAATTTTGATCCAAATCGGTTCAGATATAGCTATAGCTCCCATATGTATTGTTCATCCGATTTGTTGTATATGTTACCCACAGCTGTAATATGCACTCCGTAACAACGATATTCAGGGAAATATATAAAATTGTAATATCTTTGCCAAATTTTATCGAGATCGGTTCAGATTTGGATATAGCTCCCATATATATCTTTATCTGATTTCAAATTAATTGTGCACCAAATGGGCAATGCAAGTCCGAATTTAAAAGATACAAATGCGTGGCATATTTAGTCCTTTGAATTTTAAATTATAATTATGATCATAGGGTGTACGATTGAAAAAAAACTTTTAATTTTTATGCGGAGCTCAACTAAATTAGCAAAGTGGTGTAGGGTATCAAAAAATCGACCCCGCCCGACTTTAGGACTTTTTTTACTGTTCATATTTTTTAGACTACGTAAAAATGTATCACTGCGTAAATTCTGAAGTCAAATCCTAATCGATAAATTAAAATATTTCTTTTTTTTCGACGACATTATATATCCTTGTATACCCCCAAAATTTGCCTCATCTAAATAATAGTTTTAGACCCCATGCCTCACTCGACGTAATACATCTGTGGCAGGTAAGTCGATTCAAATCTAGTTAGATTCCAAATTAATTACACACTTTCATCACCAAATAAGCATTTAGGGAACAGTTTTGTCATTTTTATTTTTATTTTTTATTATTATTTTTTTTTTTTTTTTTTTTGAATACAATATTTATTTATTAATATATACCTTTTAATATATATGTAAGCATATACTTAATAATTCAATATAACTAAATTTTGTATTTTTAATAAAACACATTCGTGACTGTCATCTAGTGGTGTCTATATGATTTAATATAAATATGTCATGGATAAATGTATGAGCACATGGTGATACAAATTCATGGTTGGTTTGAGAATCGGCTCGTTCATTTATGGTTAGTTATTTTATTGCGTTGCCAACTAGTTAGTTCAGATTTTGACATGTAGATGGCAGCATAGGTTTCATATCAGATAGAAAAAAACGTTATTACAAAAAATTAGCAGAAAAGCGTACCTAAATAGATGAGTTTTAAAATTTTTGTTAAAAATTTACTGGACAAATATAAAATGGAGTAGTTGTGTACCTTCCATTTCAAATTTTCCATTCTGTATCCATCGGAGTTCCCATATATTCTATTAGCATGCGAAGACTAAATATTTTATACTAGCAAGCGAACGCTATTTGGTCAGCAGTAGAAATCTCATTATCCATTTTCAGGATTGAAGCCTTATCGGTTCACCCAAATCCAAATTGAACTTAATTTAGAACACAAAAATACAAATTTTCAAAGCTTTCAACATAACCAAATTCTACACTCCCACAGTAATCCCAATTCCAAATTTCAGACTGCAACAAAGACAAACGTCATAATTTTAACATTTTTATACCCTCCACCATACATAATATGGAGGGTATATAATAAGTTCTTCATTCCGTTTGTAACTTATCGAAATAATAATTTTGGAATTATAAGACGATTTAGCCCTGTCCGTCCGTCTGTCCGTCTGTTGTAATCACGCTACAGTCAAAACGAATTAAGATAGGAAGCTAAGATCTCTCTTTTATTTGCAGGCAGGTCAAGCTCGAAGATGGGCTATATCAGTCCATGATATCGTATATCCCCCATATAACGGTACCCCCTATATTCGATATTTTGATGATTTTAGCCACATTTTTCAATAGAATCGTCTGAAATTCCACATAAGGAGTTCTTTGTGAATACTTTACCCCCAGACATAGATTTGTCTATATAGGTCCACATATCGCATATCCCCCCATATTAGGCACCTTCCGATTTTAAAGATTTTAAAAGAATTTTTTAAGGATTTTTTTTTTTTTTTTTTTTTTTTTTTTTTTTTTGAAAATTTCCTAATTCATTCCAAATGGTGGATGGTATTTAAAGTTCGGCCCGACCAAACTTACTTATTTTTTACTTGTTTTTTTTTTTTTTTTTTTAATTTTATTGAATGAAAGCAAAACCTGTCAGAAATAGCATCACATTTTAGAATAACTTAAGATTTGTTCGAATTGGTCACCTTTGGCACGAATTATGGCCTTCAAGCGGCCAATGAAGCCGTCACACGCTGCTTAATATTGCTCTGCGGTATTTCTACCCAATCCCGGTGAAGTGCTTGCTTGCTTTCAAAAATACTCCAGACACAATAGTCCAACGGATTGGTATCCGGAGATTTTGGTGACCATTGTGCAGTGGAAATGAAGCGAGAAACCACATTTTTTAACCATTCTTGGGTGGAGAGACTATCGGCTTTTATGGTGGCCCACACCATCACCATGGCCGGCGCTTGAGTTCTGGTGGCCAACCGAGGGACTTTCAGTTGACTTCTTCGGCAAGTAAACACGATCATTGTGTTTGTTTACAAACTGCTGGACAATGAATGTTTTCCATGGGAGAAAACCAAATTCGGCAATTCACCAATTTCGGTCAAGCGAAGCAACTCTTTAGCTCCTTCAAGTCTATTTTCTTTCCGTTGCGGTGTAAGTTCTTGCACTTTTTGCAATTTGAATATCTTTCGGGGTAAAGCTCATTTTCTAATATTTGCCTAATGGAATATTCCGATATGTTTAGCTCACGAGCCAATTTTTGGCCACTGGGACGCGGGGTTTCGATCAAGTCGCTTCTTTATTTTTCGAACTATTTCTGCTGATGTTGTTGTTTTCTTTCGTCCACTTCCTTGATATCGAGCTACGCCACCAGTGTCACGGTAACGAGCGATGGTACAAGTCACAAAAGATTTATTGACATTTAAATGCTGGAGTGCTCTAACGATATCCACTTGAGGTTTTCCAGCCAAATATAAAGAAATCACACTTTCACGCTTGAATTCCATCACGAATAACTTTTTTTCTGGAAAATTCTCACTAAAATGCTTGTGTACGCTTGGAAACAATATAATGAACTGTCACTGGAATAATTTTTACAGCTGTCGGACGAGTGGCTTAGACATGACACCAGTCTGAAGTTGGTTGCAGTTTTTCCATCTCACCCTGTTGTTAGAGCCCCACTATATAAATAACGACTGGGTATAAATATATGTTTATGATTTCAAAAGATGGGTGAAAAAAATGTCCACATAATAAGATGTGATATCTGCCCTAAAAGTCTCTATATAGCCTCATTCGGTTTTTAAACTTATTCCATGGGGCTATCGATAGACTTTGCCTACGCCCATCAAATCCTATGATCGCAATGTCATTTTATAAGAAAATTTATAATATTAGTTTTATTGAAATTCAATTATAACAAAATTAAGATTTAACAAATATTATTTTTTAAGTAGAGGAAAAGGGGAAATAAATTAGAAAAACTTTGGAAAAAAGGAGGAAAAAAGGAAAGGAATTGGCCACAAAAGTTTAACGACGATTTTTATTGCGATTCTTGTTGTTGTGGTGGTGGTGTTGCTGATAATGGTGATGTTGCTGTTGTTTATTTTGCGGTTTCTTTTGTTGTCTTTCAGGTGTTTCGGAAGCCGAACTATCATTTGGTTCATCAGCCTCCTTGGGTGTTGAGTGGTGGGCTGGAAGATTTAGAAAAAAGTCAAAACTGGTAAAAGTTGATATGAATTTGTGAAATAAGAAAACTCACCTTCAGCTGGAGTAACTTTTACAATGGGTGCTGGATGAAAGATGTGATGGAAATCTTGTGGGGAGCCTAAGATTAGAAATATTTGCTTTAAAAGTTTGTTTTTATAGCTACAAAGTTAATTAACCTAAAAATGTTTATGGGAAATGAAAGTGACATGAAAAAATGTGTTTTGATTGAAACTTTCCATAAATAGCTACGAAAGGCCGAAATTGACCGAAACATGGGGGGTTTAGATCATAATGGACTTTTAATCTAAGTTACCAATTTTGGAAGAGGACCGGACTTTAAATGCGGGGTGGAGCGGGTTTTGAAAGAATGTGCCACAATTGTCTATTTGAATAAATATGATATAAATGTTGCAAGTTGTATAGAATCGCTGAGTTGTTTCGCAATTTGTGACAGATAAAAGTATTGAAAATTGTAACCCTTTGTGGGTGAGGGGTTCGCAGATCAGCGCAGCATCTTCACACCAGATCTTATGTTATCAAAAATGTTTATATGTGTGGAATTTCAAAAGAGTTGGATGCTTATTTCGCTTTCTTTGAGCTTTTCATTTTTCAAAATCTTGAACCCTATGTGGGGCAGGTAGCAAAAGAAATAATCCGATATTTACCATCTTTATAACAGATCCTGTGTAGATAGAAATATTCAGAAGTGCCAAGTCTAAATAGAATTGGATGCTAATTTCGAGTTTTATGAGCTTAATGGATATTCAAAATTTCGACCTTTTGTGGGGGAGGTACCAGAAGGAGTGGACCGAAATATTCGTCTTACCACCAGAAGGAGTGGACCGATATATTTCGTCTTACCACCAAATATTAGGTTCATTAAAACGGTAGCATGTGTGAAATTTGAAGAAAATCGGACTCTTACATCATATTTTATAAGATTTATGATTATTCAAAATTTTGACCTTTATGGGAGAGACACTTGATGGGAGGAACCGATGTTATCCATTTTTGCACCTGACCTAGAACTGATGGAAATATAAGGATTATTGCTTCCCTTTCTGTGCAGAAAATATATATTTTTTTTAATTTTGACCTTTTGTGGGGGGGGGGGGTGGTACCTGAAGGAGTGGACTGATATACACCATCTTAACACTAGACCTTGGGTTAATATTAATATTGGGATGTGTGAAATGTTAAGGCTATCGGACTTTTACATCACATTTTATAAGAGCTGTAATTATTCAAAATCTTGACCCTTTGTGAGGGAAGTGCTTGATGGGGTAGAGCGATATAGTCCATTTTCGCACCTGACCTAGCTCTGAAGAAAATATTAGGATTTGCAAGGTTGGAGCAAAATTGCATTATCCTTTCGCTTTCTGTGCAAAAAAAAATATATTTTTTGAAAATTTCGACCTTTTGTGGGGGATGTAACAAAAGGAGTAGACCGATATATTCCAAAGAGATCTAGGGTCTAAAACCGTTATTTCGACTAGGCAATCTTTGACCGTATCAAATCAAACAATTTCTGGGCACATCTTATGGGCAGAAGTTATTAAAAAAGGTTTCTTACTAAACATTCAATATTTTTATGAAATTCTGTTGTTATTGAAAAACAAATCATAAAATTTATTTTTAAAATATCCATGATTTTCATAAGAGGTTTTTCAATTAAGACTTCTTAAATAATATTTTTAAAATACCCACAATTTTAGTAAGAGCTGTTTGAATAGCCTTGTTTTGAAAAAAAAAAAAAAAATCATCCATTAAAAAAGAATCATTTCTTAACTAGGGAACGATTGATTTTTTTTTTAGAAAATATTCTTGCTAGGAATTCCCTGGTATAAGAATGTATTAAAATTCCGTGAAGCTTAGCATGAAAGTCGAAAAAATCCTTCAAAATATTAATGATATGATACTATATGATACCCTACACCAATATGCATGTTTCGTAGAGCTCCCATAACAAAAGAATTTATTTGAAGTAGATCACACCGCATTAACATTTGACTTTAGAGCAGTTATAATTTTTTTCAGGCGGAACAAATATATGGGAGGTATATCCAATTCTGGATCGATTTTCATATAAATTTGGCGAAGACATTTTTAATATTGCTATAGAGTGCATTATATCACTTCGAGAAGGATTATATTAAAACAAGTAAAAAAACATAAAGTTCGGCCGGGCCAAACTTTTAATACCCTCCACCTTAGGGTAAAAGAAACATTAGAAGAAATGTGGCAAAAACCATTAAAATGCCGATTATGGGGAGGTACCGTTATATGGGGGCTATACCAAAACGTGGACCTATAATTACAATGTTTCGCCACCGGAGCTGGAACCCATTATGACCCACAAATACCAATTTTTAGACAAATCAGTGGAAAAAATGTGGCAAAAAACATCAAAATACCGAATATCGGGAGGTACCGTTATATGGGGGCTATATCAAATCATGGACCCATGCATGCAATGTTTCGCCACCGAAGCTGGAACCAATTATGACCAACAAATACCAATTTTCGAACAAATCCCTGAAAAAATGTGGCAAAAATCATCAAATTACCGAATATCGGGAGGTACCGTTATATGGGGGCTATACCAAAACGTGGACCTATAATTACAATGTTTCGCCACCGGAGCTGGAACCCATTATGACCAACAAATACCGATTTTCAGACAAATCCGTGAAAAAATGTGGTAAAAAAACTAAAATACTAAATATCGGGAGGTACCTTTATATGGGGGCTATACCACAACGTGTACCTATACATGCAATGTTTTGCCACACGCTCAGGGACCCGCTATGACCTACAAATACCAATTTTAAGACAAATCCGTGAAAAAATGTGGCATAAATCATCAAAATACCGAATATCGGGAGGTACCGTTATATGGGGACTATACCAAATTATGGACCCATACATGCAATGTTCCGCCACCGGAGCTGGAAACCATTATGACCCACAAATACCAATTTTTAGACAAATCGGTGAAAAAATGTGGTAAAAAAAAAAACTAAAATACTAAATATCGGGAGGTACCTTTATATGGGGGCTATACCACAACGTGGACCTGTACATGCAATGTTTTGCCACACGCTCAGGGACCCGTTATGACCTACAAATACCAATTTTAAGACAAATCCGTGAAAAAATGTGGCATAAATCATCAAAATACCGAATATCGGGAGGTACCGTTATATGGGGACTATACCAGAACGTGGACCGATATATCTCATTTTCAATACCAACCATCCTAGACACAATGCAAATAGCACTGCTAAATTTTGGAGCTCTATGTCAAATAATGTGGGCTGTATCGTGATTTCAACAGACAGACGGACAGACAGACAGACAGACAGACAGACGGACATCGTTAAATCGACTTAGAATTTTATGCTGATTATGAATATATATACTTTAAGGGGTCTAAAACGAATATTTAGGGATGTTACAAACGGAATGACAAAGTTAATATACCCTCCTTTCCAAGGTGGAGGGTATAAAAATATATCGGAGCCGAGTTCCACCAAACGGAAACGTACGTCCTGAAATTTAATACGTATGGGCTGATATTAGCCATTATTTGCGCAATGAACCGGAAATCGGAGCTATATCCTAATCTTGGCCGATCTCGATAAAATTTGGCAAATGTATTTCTCAGCTTTATAAGTTATCTAGAACCAAATATCATTGTTGCTAAATGTATAGGGACTTTAAACCAAAAGGGACTTTAAAACCAAATCAGATGAAACATATATATGGGAGCTATAGCTATATCTGAACCAAATTTGATATATACGCTTCTAGACTAAATTCGTTCGGATGTACCAAAATTCTGTACATTTGCACTGATTCTGGCCATTTGGTACATAATTAACCCGAAATCGGTTGAAGATATATATTGGAGTTATATCCAAATCTGAACCGATATTGATAAAATTCGGCAGAGGTATTTCTGAGCTGTATCTGATATCTGGTAAACATTTCTTTCTTGTGGGAGGAATATTACGAATGTGAGAGACTTTAAAAGCAAATCGGATGAAACATATATATGTGGGCTAAAACTTTATCAGAACCGATTTTCACTAAATTTTATGTACTTGCTTTTAGAGTGAATTCGGTTGGATGTTCGCAAGAACCGGGTTATTTGAACTGATATTGACCATTTGGTGCACAATTAACCCGAAATCGGTAGAAAATATATATGGGAGCTATATTTACACTTGAACGGATTCTCACCAATTTCAATAGGGTTCATCCTTGGTCCAAATAAATATTTATTGGTAAATTCCATCTCAGTCGGACAATAAATGCGACCTGTATTTTGTTTACAAAAATACATGGGCAGACGGACGGAGATGCATAAATCGACTCAGAAAGGGATTCTATGAAGATCCTCAAAAGTAACTATGGGCCTATTCGCTTCCTTCTCCATGTTACAAACAAATGCACAAAGACATAATACCCTTACCACTATGTGGTGTAGCTTCTTTGATATGAAGCTCTTGAAAATATTTTACGAACGATCGCCTACTTGGCCAGGATGTGATTGAAATGTGATTTAGATTTTTTTTATTTTGATAATTTATGCTGGAGTTACCAGAAGGACTGGAGCGATACAGCGATAAATTAAAATCTAGTATGGAGGAGGAGTACGGCGGTATTGTCGATAATGGATTCTAATGGAATACTTGATGAATGCAATGAATGTGAATGAAGAAGAAAAATCTATGAACGAAATTAAGACAAACCAATGGGGCTATAGAAAATATCCTCAGTCGATGAGGCGGGTGTTAACTGAAAAGAAGAAGGGGCATCTCTAGGAATGGGCACGGGCGATGATCTTCGATATGTTGGCGATGATCTTCGATATGCCGGCGACGATTTTCTTTGGGTAATTTCGGTCTTAACAACTATGGACCAATCGTATTCGGTTATGGATGTTTCGGTTGTAATCGTTCGATAATGTTTCTCACGGAAAGTTGGTGATGTTGTCACTTGGGGACTTGGAGGTTTGGGACTCGCGGTCTGTTGGGATGCTGGAGGTAATAACAGGAGTTTTTAAAATCCAACTAAATATTTCTGGAAACCTAGAATCAAAATACGAATGAATTGCAACTCACCTGCTGCGGTTTTAGCACCTAAAACTGGTTTTAAGGAGGCTGCTGACTCATGACCAGGTGTTGACTTCTGTTTAGCTTCCGGATCTTGAATTATATTTAATTTATGTTGGTTTTTCGGGGTTAGAACTTCCTTTTGCTGTTCCTTTTCTTTTTCTTGGTGTTGTTGTGATTGCTGTTGTTTTTGTGGTGGCTGCTGTTGGTCTTTTTGTTGCTGCTGTTTTTCAACTGTGGCTGTCAAAGAATTCATTAGGTGGGGGGAAAAAGGGATATAGATATAGAAACCAAAGGCCAAATAAAGGATATGATTTTTAGAATTTAGTTTTTTTTTTTTTTTTTTTTTGTGTTTTGTCTCTATCTTTTTTTTGGGAGATATGGGATAACGACTTATGTATAACATTTGTAATTCAATTATTTTATTTATGTATGTAATAGCAAAAAATATCTTAACTTCAAATGATGCTCAACAAGAGATAAGAGAATAAGAGATATATCGGAATTCATGCTTATATTTATGTACGTATGCAATTAATTAATTATCGAAAGAGAAATATGTAATTCTAAAAACCATTACCGACTTCTGTTGAGCTTTTGGTCTGTGATCCACTTTTGTTCGTTTCACCACTCTGCGGCTTTGGCGTTTTTGCCATGTCACTGCCACTGTCAGCATCTGAGATGGGTTCCAGTTTTATATCGGCTATGGGCTTGGGCATTGGCCGATGTTTAGGCCCGCCGTTTTCTTTGACCTCAACCACACTGTGATCCAGAGATGACGATTGATCCTTGGAGGCCTTTTCAAAATATGGAAATTTAATTGAATGCGCATTTTTAAGGCTTTATGATGGATATACCTTAGATTTGGACAAATCTGCAGCTTCAGCACTGGAAATACTCTCACTAGAAGACGATGATGAGCTCTCCTCGTCTTCTTCGTTTGGCACATAGTCTGAATCATCCTCAGAATCTTCATTGGCGTATTTTTCTAACATTTGATCCACAGTCATATTGAGATCGGCATTGTCATCATCACGTGGCCGTTTAACGGAACGTTCACCCTAAAGGATTAGACAAATTAAAAGAATAATGTCTTCTAGCCCTACAAAACATGACGAAGGTCTTTTAGCCCTAGAAAACCTTAAAGAGATCTTCTAGTCCTAAATGACCTAAAGATGGTCTTTAAGCCCTAGAGAGTCTTTTGGCTATAGGTCTGAAGAAGGTTTTTTGGCTAAAGAAGGCCTGAAGAAGGCCTTCAGGTTAATAAAACACCTAAAGAAGTTATTTTGGCTATAAACGACCTGAAGAAGGCCTTCTGGCTATAAAAGACCTAAAAAGGTCTCCTAGATATAGAGGACCTGGATATAGAGAACTTAAAAGCCTTAGAGGATCTTTTGGCTATAGAGGCCTGAAAAAGGTTTCCTGGCTATAGAAGACCTAAAGAAGGTCTTCCGGCTGAAAAAGAAATGAAGGCCTTCGGACTATAAAACACCTAAAGAAGTTATTTTGACCTGAAGAAAGCCATCTGGCTATAAAAGACCTAAAAAGGTCTCCTGGATATAGAGGACCTAAAAAGGTCTTCTCGCTATAGAGGGCATAAAAGAGGTCTCCTGGTTATAGAGGACCAAAAAAGATCTCCTGGCTATAGAAGACCTGAAAAAGGTCCTCTAATTATATGAGACCTGAAGAAGGTCTTTTGGTTATAGAAGACCTGAAGAAGGTCTTCAGGCTATGGAATACATGAGGATGGTTATCTGGCTATAGCAGACATGAAGAAGACATTCTAGCTATAGAAGACCTGAAGAAAATCTTCGGGGTGTAGAAGACCTGAATCAGGTCTTCTGGCTATAAAAGACCTGAAAACGGTCCTCTGGCTACAAAAGACTAAAAGAAGCCCTAGAAAACGCAAAGAAGGTCTTCCAGCTATATAAGACCTGAAAAGCTTTAGGGGACTTAAAGATGATCTTCTAGCCCAAAAACACGTCAAGAAGGTCTTCTAGAAATATTATACTTAAGGCATAAAGGACCAGAAAAAACCCTTGAAGACCTGAAGAAAATCTTCTACCCATAGAAGACGTTGGGAAGGTCTCCTAGCTTTTAAAGGACTAGAAGAAGGTTTCTAATATTAGACGACCTGAAGATGATTACAGAAGATTTGAATAAGGTCTTCTAGTACTAGAGAACCTGCAGATGGTCTCCAAGCCTTAGAAGTCTCGGAAAGGTCTTCCATCCACAGAATATATGTCTTGTAACCATAGAAGACTTAAGGGAGGTCTGCTATCCATTGAAGACCTAAGGAGGGTCTTCCAGCCATTGAAGACCTGAGGAGGGTCTTCTAGCCATTAAAGACCTAAAGAAAATGTTATATTCATAGAGGACTAGAAGAAGGTAGGCTCTTTATAGAAGATTTGTAAAAGGTTTTCTGTAGTAAGTGTTCTTACCATGGAAGACTTGTACAATGTGTTTTATACTTACCGACATTTCCTCCATCACCTTCGATATATTCCCCATGCCAAAAGCACGTCTTGACGGTACATCACGACGTTGGCCCGGCTTGCAAACAGCACTACCAAATAGCGAACGAATCTTTCCCATAAAGGTTTGATTTTTACCAGAAACCATCATGCCACTTGAATCCGGTTCCATACGACGAGCAGCCCTCAAGGCGGGTACTCGGATAGCTCTTAAACGACGACGTTTAATCTGAATGTTATAGACCATTTTTTCAGCTGTCATGGGTGAACCGCCCATCATGATGCAAACAAAGGATAGCCACATTCGAATGACACGCAACCACACAATCAGGGGTATGAAGAATATCCAGGGAAGAGGTCGTTCCAGCTTGGCATCGGTGTCATCTGCCGGAGAAACGTAAGGAGATAACAAAGTTTTTCACTCAATTGGTTTTTTAATCTTACCTTGTGGCAAACTCCATTTCGATGTCTCTTCCAAAACTTTCAGCACCCGATCACAGCTTCCCAATATCGTCTGACCCATCCCAGTTGCGGCAAATTTCTCGCAAATCATTTGCAATTTATCCATTACGGTTTTATTTTGAGGTATTTCGATTTCTTCGATCTCCTCTTCATCACCTGGCGGAGCTGTGGTGATCTCATCTCCGGCGGATTCTTGTGGTTGTTGCTGTTGGATTTTGGTTTCCTGAGCCATTCTCAATGCTGCTGCTGTTGACCGTGATCGTTACTGAAATGTTTCAAAACATCGGTCTGAGTATTTTTTCTGTGATAATGGCAGAAGCAAAATGAAAAAATCTGCGCCATTCTCCGACGGTCGTCTGTCGTTATCAGTTCGCCGGTTTGAATAGTTTTTTTTTTGTCTGACAGCAATTGTTTGCATTTATTTTTAACATTGTTTGTTTTCGATTTTAATATATTGTATATATATTTAATATATTTTGAATATGACTAATTTCAATATTTTGATTTTGAACTTTGCGCGAATTTCTTTCGGAAAATTATCAAAATTGTTTCATATTTTCTTGTCATGATGATGTAATGTGAAAGTATCAGGAGAGTGATCCGTAGGTCATTTTAGCTATAATTCGATTTCAAAATTATATAATACATACTGTCACATGACAAGGAGTATGATGGAAAATGTGGGTCACGTGTGTCTTCCAGTTGCAAACTATAGACGTTGTAATAGTGATAATGCTTATTTTCAGAACCGAGATTTTTTCATCAAAACATTTTAAATTAGAAAAGAAATTGCCAATATTTGTAGAACGTTTACTTGGAGGTGCTATGAGAATATGAAAACTGCATAAAAGTCAAACGCCATAATTTTTACATTTTTTATACCCTCCACCTTGAAAAGGAGGGTATATTAACATTTTTCCATAAATATTCCTCGTAGACCCCATAAAGTATATATATTCATAATCAGCATAAAATTCAAAATAATTATGATTATAGCATAAAGTCAAAATTTAGCAGAACAATTAGTATTGTGTCTAGGATGGTTGGTATTGAAAATGAGATATATCGGTACACGTTTTGGTATAGTCCCCTTACAACGATACCTTCTGATATTCGGTATTTTGATGATTTTTGCAACACTTTTTCACGGATTTGTCTAAAAATTGGTATTTTTAGGTCATCGTGGCTCTTAGTTCGTGTAGGGAAATATTGTATGTACGGGTCCACGCTTTGGTATAGTCCCCTTACGACGGTATCTCCCGATATTCGGTATTCTGATGATTTTTGCCAATTTTTTTTTTACGGATTTGTCTAAAAATTAGTTTTTGTTGATCATAATGGATTCTAACTCCGGTAACGAAACATTTCATGTATAGGTCCACGATTTGGTATAGCCCCCATGTAATAGTACCTCCCGATGACTTTGATGACTTTTGCCACATTTTCCCACGAATATGTCTAAAAATTGGAATTTGTGGGTCATAATGGGTTCTAATTTTTCCTTTACCCTAAAGTGGAGAGTATTAAAAGTTCGGCCAGGACGAACTTAATGTTTTTTACTTGTTTTTATACCCTACAACACTATGTGTTGGGGGTATTATAAGTTTGATTGGGCCAGAATTTATGTAACACCTCGAAATATTGATTTCCCATATAGGAAAGTATATATGGATCTTCCTAGCTCGCCGAGCTGAGTCGATCTAGCTATGTATGTCCGTCCGTCCGTCTGTCCGTCTGTCCGTCTGTCCGTCTGTCCATGTTAATTTGTAATCACTCTACAGGTCGCAATTATGGCCCGATCTTCACGAAATTTAAAATGTAGGTGGGGTTAATGTCAGAATAGAACCCTATTTCTTTTGAAGATGATCGCCAAATGTTTAGGGGTTGAAATGGACCAAATACTGAAAAAATGTCGGATTTTGCAGTAGCTATACAGGTCGCAATTATAGACCAATCGACGCGGAATTTCGCTTGTAGCTAGAGTTTAAGCCGGGGAAGAAGCCTACCAATTTGGGTGGTCATCGGATAATATTTAGCGGGTAAAATAGACCATATCTTTTTTGTTGAAAAAATTCAAAATTTTTCATTAAACCGCGAATATTTCAAATCCCGGCGAAATCACAAAGCCATGACAAGGGTACTTCTGATCTTTACATTGATGTTAAGATCCAACAAATCGAATATATAGCAAAATTTGTGCGATATATATGTCTATCGAAGAAGATATGCTTGAAAGATCTATTTTATGTCGAGAACGGCTGAACTGATTTCGACAGTTCTCATTAATTCAGATTGGCCTCTTGGCAGAAAAGAAAAAACGCCTAGAAAATCGCATAAAAATATCTCTTTAAAGAGGAAAATATTGATTTTCTAAAATTTTCTCATATCTTTTCAATTTTGTCATATTTTTGGCATATTTTCATTTTGAATTAAGCATTTGGTAATATTTCTACAGCTAACAAAACTAAGTAGTTGGGATATCAGGATATCATATACAGATCGCATTTATGGCCCGATCCTTACGAAATTTTGCATGGGGATAAGATGAGGGTCAGAATAGAAGCCTACTCTTTTTGGAGATGATCGCCGTATATTTAGGGGTTGAAATGGACCAAAAAAACTGCAAAATTGTCAGCAGGAATGGGAGTTACCGAACATTGCAAAAGCCAAGCAGTTTTGGATGGCCATCCAAAAATATTCAATGTGTGAAGGAGTTTGCCAACTTTTATACACAAAATACGAAAATGTCCATTCCAGTGACTTTTTGGAGAATTCACAAATACAGGAATATTTGAAGAATATAGTAAAATTGCTGTATCTCATATAGATGTGTTTCAGTCAAAAACCAATAATAAATGTTAATGTTTTGCCACTTCTGAGAGATTATAGGTCTTTGGGAAATATTGGTTCCAGATCTAGGAAGACCATTTACGTGCACCATCTACCAATAAATTGGAAATGAGCAAATTAGCAAATTGCTATTATTCGAAAATTAGAGAACGAAACCTGATGGTTTTCTTTTATAATTTGTCACAATATCTTGTGGAATTCTTTCGAGTATCTCGCCTATATAAACTGTATCGTTTATTGTAGTGTTGTAGGGTATTCAACGGTCGGCCCCGCTCGACTGTAGCCTTTGCTTACTTGTTTTTTTTTAATTTTATTGAATGAAAGCAAAAAGTGTCGGAAATAGCATCAAATTTTAGAATAAGTTTAGATTTGTTCGAATTGGTCACCTTTGGCACGAACTAAGACCCTCAAACCAATGCAACCCTCACACGCTGCCCGAGTGTTCCTCTACGGAATTTCGGCCCCTTCAACAACACTTTGGTATTTTTTAGGGCCAACCTTGCCTTCCAAAATACTCCAGGTCATTGTGCGCTGGAAATGAAGCGAGGAACCTCATTTTGCAACCATTCTTGGGCGGGGCGTGCTAAATCCTGCTGGGATATCCAAGATCTGCGGCCAAAATGTTTGCCTGTCCAAGGCTTCAATACACCCTTAAGAATATTTTCACGATAATATTCGGCATTTATTTTGATGCCACGGACGATTAGTACGAGCGGAGAGCGACCATCAGGCCTACACCATCACCATGGCCGGCGATAGAGTTCTGGTGGCCAACCAAAGGTGCACATCTTCAGCTAACCTTTTTGGTAAGTAAACACGATCATTTTTTTTTTTTTTTTTTTGTTTACAACGAATGTTTTCTCATCGGAGAAAACCAAATTCGGCAATTCACCACTTTTAGCCGAGCGAAGCAACTCTTTAGCTCTTTTGAATCTATTTTCTTTCTGTTGCGGTGTAAGATCTGGCACTTTTTGGAATTTCAATGGCTTTAAGACGAGCTCATTTTTCAATATTTGTCGAATAGAATATTTCGATATGTTCAGCTCACGAGCCAATTTTTTGCCACTGCGACGCGGGTTTCGATCAAGTAGCTACTTTAATTTTCAAACCATTTCTGCTGATATTAAAGTTTTCCACTTCCTTGATGTCGGGCTACGCTACCAGTATCACGGTAACGAGGGAAGATTTATAAAGATTTAAAAGATCTATTCATATTTAAATGCTGGAGTGCTCTAACGGTAGCCAGCCAGCCAGTGGTTTTCCAGCCAAATATAAAGAAATCACACTATCACGCTTGAATTCCATGACGAATGACTTTTTTTTCCGAAAAATTCTCACCAAAATGCTTTTGTACCCTTGTAAAAAATATAATGAACTCTCACTGGAATAATTTTAACAGCTGTCGAACCTGTGGCTTAAATGACAGCAGTCTGAAGTTGGCTGTAGTTTCTTCATCTCACCCAGTATACAAGGTGGCGCAAAAGTAATACTCCTATCAGAAATTGCTATCAATTTTACGATTGGTCAGTTCTGTTTTGACATTTTCATAGTAAACACATGCGAAATACACGTAAAAAAAAACAACGATACGCTACACTGCCCCCAAACCCGGAATATTGGTGACTATTTATTTGACCAATAATCGGTCGATGACTTTGGCACAACATAAATTTCGTAGCATATTTCCTTGCCGTCCAACCCCTACTGGTGAAACACTGCGAATTTTAGCCGCTCGCCTCACGTTGCAGTCCCTGGAGTACCTGCCAGGCGTGGCAGTCCTCGGAGTATCTGAGGAGAATATTGCTGCTGTAGGATGTCGTGGAAGCGCCGTCGACATCGACCAGACGAAGTGCCACGGTACAAGATTTGAAGATGTTTCCGTAATAAATCCAGATGGTGCATAAGCTGTTAGCTGCTGACCGCCAATCGCGTCTAACATACGCTCAAGCCATCCTAAATCACCACCAAGAAGAAGATCATATTTTATCTTAGCGAGTACGTAAATAAACAAAGTTTACGCTACAAGGGCACTAAAAATCCGCGTGTAGCCCACAAAGAGCCATTATGCCCGCTCAATTTCACTGTATGTTGTGCTGGAGGAGCCATCCGACTTTTTTCTTCGAAAACGTCGCGGGCCAAAGGGTTACTGTGAATGATCAACGACTTTTCTTTTTTCCACAACTTGATGAGTTGGGATTGGAAACATGTGGTTCCAACAGGACGGTGCAACCTCAACACTGCACGTGTCACAATTGATATGCTGAAGGATGCATTTTCCAGGCGTCTAATCTTCGGTTTTGGCTATTTGCACTGACCAGCAAGATCGTCTGATTTTACCACTCCAGATTTCTTTTTGTGGGGCTTTTTGAAGTCGCGGGTTTATGTCAATAAGCCTCCGATTCTTTTAACACTTAAAGACAATATCCTTTAAAAAATGTGAGAACCTATGGCCGGAAATTTGGGCCAAATACCATAAAAGGACGCAAAGATGCTGAAGGATGCATTTTCCGGGCGTCTAATCTTCGGTTTTGGCTATTTGCACTGACCAGCAAGATCGTCTGATTTTACCGCACCAGATTTCCTTTTGTGGGGCTTTTTGAAGTCGCGGGTTTATGTCAATAAGCCTCCGATTCTTTCAACACTTAAAGACAATATCCGTCAAGAATGTGAGAACCTATCCCCGGAAGTTCGGGCCAAATGCCATAAAAAGGGCGAAAATGACATTAAATTGGCGACGGTCATTTACTTGACATCATATTCTCGACTTGAAAACCTAATGATTAAATAAATATAATCCACAAGAGGAATTAAAGTTCTTCATTCTTTTTAATTACAGCCAAAATTGCCATAGGTTTTGGAACGAATTATTAACATCATATACCGAATTTGAAAAGAAATTCGGGTTGGAGATACCCTCGTTTGATATGTACGATCGGCAAATAACAATTTATTTATGTAGAGCCTTTGTGAGAGAGGTAATACAGAATATCTGGAGGTACAGTAATATGGACTTACAGTTTTATGCATAGTTTCTCACATAACGACAACACTTACTGCTAATTATTTACCAATTCGGATTAAAATTGCGATTTTTTTCAAACTTGGTTTATTTTAATTACACCATCCACCCTGAAAACGATAAAAACAAGTAAAAAGCCGAACCCTCCACCATTTGGTGCAAATTTGGCAATTTCCAAAAAAAATAAAATCCTTTAAAAATTCTGTTAAAATCTAAAAAAAATCTGAATGTAGCCATATTTTAGGGTCTATAAGACGACGTGTACCTGCACAGGCAACTTTTGTTACAAACTATTAGAATATTCAAATGCGAAACTTGAAAAAAAATTGGTTTATAATGTAGCTAAAATCATCAAAATTCTGAATATAGGGAGGTACCATGAGGTTCACGTGGACCTGCACAGAAAATTTTCTGGCATAGGCTGTAGTATCCATTACGAATTTCAAATACAAAATGTTAAATAATTCCGGAAAATAATGTCGCTAAAATCATCGAAATACCGAATTTTGGAGATTCCGTTGTATGGGGGCTGTACGAAGATGTGGATCCGCACAGACAATTTTCTGTCATAGGCTTTAGTATCCATTACAAATATCAAATGCGAAATTTGAAACAATTCCGGTTAATAATGACGCTAAAATTATCAAAATACCGAATGTTGGGAGGTGCCGTTATATGGGGGCTATACGAAGACGTGGACCTACATGGCTCATTTTCTGTTTTATGCTGTAGTATCTATTACGAGCTTCAAATACTTAATTTGAAATAGTTCCGGTAAATAATGTCTCTAAAATCATCAAACTACCGAATATCGGGTGGTTCCGTTTTCTTAGGATGTAGTATCGATTACGAACTTCAAATACCAAATTTGAAATAGTTCCGGTAAATACTGTCTCTAAAGTCATCAAACTACCGAATATCGGGGGGTACCGTTATATGGGGGCTATTCGAAGACTTGGACCTTCACAGACAATTTGCTGCCATAGGCTGTAGTATTCATTGCGAACTTCAAATACTAAATTTGAAATAGTTCCGGTAAATAATGACGCTAAAATTATCAAAATACCGAATATTGGGAGGTGCCGTTATATGGGGGCTATACGAAGACGTGGACCTACATGGCACATTTTCTGTTTTATGCTGTAGTATCTATTATGAGCTTCAAATACTTAATTTGAAATAGTTCCGGCAAATAATGTCTCTAAAATCATCAAAATACCGAATATCGGGGGGTACCGTTATATGGGGGCTATTAGAAGACTTGGACCTTCACAGACAATTTGCTGTAGTATTCATAGCGAACATCAAATTTCAAATCTGAAACAATTCCGGTAAATATTGTCGCTAAAATCATCAAAATACCGAATATCGGGAGGTACCGTCCGTCAGACATAACACACATTTGAGTCAAATTTAATCAACCTACTTCATTTCGTTCGGAAGCTAGAGTGGTTTCCGCAGACGGACATTGCTAAATCGACATAGAATTTTATGCTGATCAAGAATACATATACTTTGTGGGGTCTAAAATGTATATTTCGATGTGTTACAAACGGAATACTATGGTGGAGGGTATAACAAATTGTTTAAAAATACAACTGCAATGACTACAGAATTTCTGGCCAAATCAAATATATCTTTCGCTTTCTCAAATCTATTCTCAAGCAGAATCACTAGAAAACGCTTTGGATTCTCAATCTGTTACGGTAATCTTTTACGGCACTGCATGTTTTCGTGGTTTAATTTTCGATACACTTTGATCTCTTAACTGTCAATTACTTTGATAATTTAATTATTTATTTTATTACCAATACTCATTGTTTTATTTCGTATGTTATATACACAATTTATATAGAATCGAAATAAATTCAGAATGCAATGGAATTATCTCTTTTAAATAAGGTGCAATCGATTATCGCACAAATATTAACGAAATGTATATACTAAGCAATGATGGATAATTTGTAAATAGAAATTCACATTAAATTAAATTGGACACTTTATCCTGCAAGATTTTCAAGAGGTAAAATAATTATAGCTGACTACTGTATATTTCCAATCATTTCCGCCCAGTGACATTTTGTTTGTATACCCTCCTCAATAGTATGGAGGGTATATTAAGTTTGTCATTCTGTTTGTAACACCTGGAAATATTTCATATTGGAACCCAAAAGTATATATATATAAGCCCATGTTTTGACACAACCTCCATATAACTGTACCTGTAGGTTTAACATCGGTTTTGTTGTTGTTTAGTCACAGTTTTAACCCGAATTTGCTGTAAATCAGCAAAATGTGTGCCCATTATGAAAAGACATCCTTTAATGGAACCATATGGATGCATGGTTCCCTAATATCCGTACCTCCAAAATATTCGGAATTCAGCTACACTTTTCAACAAATATATCTAGAAGTGGGAATTTGGGGTTCGTTATAGGCGTCGCCTTCTCTGGCGATATTTGACTGTATCGATCCACGTTTACGTATTACCTCTATGTGACGGTACCTCCCAGCATTGGATATTACGCTGATTCTAGCTACATAGAATTATCCTAAATTTCGTGTTTGGAGTTCGTAATAGGCATCGCCTTATCTAGCCGATAATTGGCAATAGAACTCCACCTTTTCCTACAGACCCATATTACTGCAACACCCAACATTCAAGATTTTCAACATTTTAGCGCCATTTATGAACGGAATCCTTTAACATTTTGCGATTTTTTTTATCAAACGGTGGAGGGTATTGAAGGTTCGGCTTTCAGACCCCACTTCCACTTCTTCCGGTACCTTGAAAAATAATACAAGTATAAACGCTTTAAGTTCGATTGGCCAACATTTTTTAAACCTCCACCATGAGTTAAAGGCAACATTTAAAATAAAAGTATCGAGGTTGAGTATTGGGTCCACTTCCATTTTTTCCCAGTAAAATGGATTGGTAAAAAGTCTTAAAAATATAAAATTAAAAAAAAAAATATAAAATGTAAAAAATGTTCGGATTAAATTTTTTTACTAAAATCAAAAATACGTCAAATATTCGAAAGTACCTCTATATGGATTATACAAGGTGAGATGAAAGAACTGCAACCAAATGTTGTCATTTCTAAGCCACTCGTCTGACAGCTGGTAAAATCATTCCAATGACAGCTAATTACAAAAACATTTTTATGAGAATCTTCCAGAAAATTCTTATTTGCGGGATAGTGTGATTTCTTCATATTTGACTGGAAAACCACAAGTGGCTATCGTTAGAGCACTCCAGCATTTAAATGTGAATAAATCTTTTGAGTCTCGTACCATTGCTCGTTACCGTGATACTGGTAGCGTAGCCCGACGTCAAGAGGGTGGACGGAAGAAAACAGCAACATCAGCAGAAATGGTTCGAAAAGTAAAGAAGCGACTTGATCGAAACCAGCATCGCAGTGGCCGAAAAATGGCTCGTGAGCTGAACATATCGCAATATTCCATTCGGCAAATATTGAAAAATGAGCTCGGGGTAAAGCCATTGAAATTCCAAAAAGTGGAAGAACTTACACCGCAACAGAAAGAAAATAGTTTGTTAACAATCAAAATGATCGTGTTTGCTTGCCAAAGGTTGGCACTAGAAATACCACCTCAAGTAAGAGTTTCGCCATGAATGGGCCAAAATACCGCATAGCAACATTCAGGCAGCGTGTGACGGTTTGATGCTATTTCCGACATTTTTTGCTTTCATTCAATAAAATTTAAAAAAAAAAATGTAAAAATTATGGCGTTTCTGTATTATTATTATTATTGTCTCACAATGTTTTAATTTTCTAAAATCTATAACACCTCAGCGGTAAGAAAGAAAATAAAAAGAATAATAATCAAAAATAATTGCTGTTGCCAGCGCTGAATAATACCATGAAAAAAAAAAAAAACACAACAGCAAACAGGGTGGGTACGAAAAAACTTAAAAATAGAAGCAATCAGCCAATTTAATTACGCTGATCAATTTCAACAACAGCAACAAATGAAAAAAAAAAAACAATAGTGAAATAGATCGCCACCATTGACATTGACCCTGCTATTGGGCTATTGTCGGCGCTGACTGTATAAACGCTGGAGCATTTAAGCTCCATAAATTGAAAGGCAGCAACTATGGCGCCATCGTCGTCGCCCAGCATTGTGATAATTTTTATGATTTTTCGATTGCATTTCAATTCACTCCCAAATGCAAACATTGTTGATTTGTGAGAAAAAGAAAAAGAAACAACAAAAAATTCCAATCAAGTAACGCGTGGCGCTTGGTGTAAAACAAAGATAACGGTAAATGGACATTTTAGAAAACTGGACAACTAGAAATGTGGAAGATAACCGAGCCAAAAGTTGTGGAGATTTTTCAAGAGTTGCAGCAACAAAACTTACCGCTTATTGAAACAAACGATTTTTTTTTTTTTTTTTTTTTTTTTTTTTTGTTAGAAAACAGTAAAAATGAATTTTAGGAAATTTCCATAAACTGTATCACGTATACTTTGATTATAAATATTTCGAGACACTTGTTTTTTTAATTGTTCTTTATTATTTTCTTTTTTTTTTAATTTTTTTTTTTGCTTTTTCTTAGTCCACCAACGAAAAACAACAATAAACCTTTAGCATTTGCTACTGTCCCGCAGTCCCATTAAAAATCGACTAAATTTCTGGAATTGTTTTTGATCACTTCTGGAAGTAGGGAATAATCATATTTGGCGTTAATGAGATTTAAGCATTCCGTGTGTGAGAGAAAGAGAGTCTAAATGAAATCTCGATCATGGCGGAGTGGTGAATTTATCAGTGATTTAAATCTTTGTTTTCGATTCGGCTTCTTCTCTCTCTCTCCCTCTCTCTTTGTTATGTTGTTCGAAAAGAGATCGCTGGAAATAAGCTGATCTCTTATCATATGTATTTTGTTGTTGTGATTTACATATAGAACTACATAGACAATTATAATTTTTAAGCATGATTAATTGAAGCCAGTGTTGGAAAAATTAGTACTATTGGATTTCTATGAATACATTTTGGTCGAGACTTCCGTGTCAGTCCATGGATAGACTGGACAAAAAGGTACTAAATATCATACCCTTTGTAGCAGTAGAGCTAGAACTCTACAATTTGGAATGAGGGTCACTGATGGGGTGCATGATAGTTGTATTAAAGGGTTTTTGGAAATTCGCACTATAAGTATACGAAAAGTACGAAAATGTACTACATTTGGTTCAATTTCGTATCATGTGAACGGTTAAAGTTAAAAACAAATAAAAAAGCTGTAAGTTCGGCTGGGCCGAACTATGAATACAATTCTCAAAACCAATTAAATTTGTTAAAAATTCTGTTAAAATCTTAACAAGTAAAAAAACATTATGTTCGGCCGGGCCAAACTGTTAATACCCTCCACCTTAGGATTAAGGAAACATTAGAGCTCATTATGACCCACAAATACAAAATTTTAGACATATTCATGGAAAGATGTGTCAAAAATCATCAAAATACCGAATATCGGGAAATACGGCTATATGAGGCTATATAAAAACGTGGACCTATACAAGCAATGTTCCGCCACCGGAGCTAGAACCCAATATGACCTTCAAATAACAATTTTCAGACAAATCCGTGATAAAATTTGGCGAAAACATCAAAACACCGAATATCTGGGGGTACCGTTATATGGGATCTATATCAAAACGTGGACCTATGCATGCGATGTTTCGGCACCGGAGCTTGAACCCATTATGCCCAACAAATACGAATTTTTAGACAAATCCGTGAAAAAAAATTGGCAAAACTAATCAAAATACCGAATATCGGGAGTTACCTTTATATGGGGGCTATACCAAAGGGTTGACCTATACATATAATAACTCGGCACACAAATTAGGACCCATTATAACCTACAAATACCAAATTTCAGACACATCAGTGAAAAAATGTGGCAAAAATCATCAAAATACCGAATATCGGGAGGTACCGTTATATGGGGACGTGGACCGATAAAACTCATTTTTAACACCAACCATCCTAGACACAATACAAATTGCTCTGCTCAATTTTGGCGATCTATGTCAAATAATGTGGGCTGTATCGTGATTTCAACAGACAGACAGACGGACATCGTTAGATCGACTTATCGACCCTCCTTTCAAAGGTGGAGGGTATAAAAATACCGAATTTAGCTGTTATATTAGGGTCTACAGGGACGACCTGCATAGGTAATATTTGTCATAACCCATTACAATAATCAAATGCAAAACTTAAAACAAATCGGAAATAATGTCGCTAAAATCATTAAAGTACCGAATATCGGAGGGTCCCGTTATATGGGGGCACTACGAAGACATAGATCTGCACAGACAATTTACTGTCATAGACTGTAGCATCCATTACAAACATCATATACCAAAGTTGAAACAGTTCCGGTGAATAATGTCGCTAAAATCATCAAAATACCGAATATCGGGAGGTACCGTTACATGGGGGCTATACCAAAACGTGGATATACATGGCATATTTTCAATACCAAACGTCCTGCAGACATATTATGCATTTGAGTAACATTTAATCAATCTACTTCAATTTGTTCGGAAGGTAGAGTGATTTTCACAAATGGACGGACATCGCTAAATCGACATAGAATTGTAGGTGAACAAGAATGTATATACTTTTGTGAGGTCTAAAATGTATATTTCGAGGTGTTATAAACGGAATGACAAACTTAATATACCTTCCATACTATGGTGGAGGGTATAATAGAAATTAAGAATGGGAATCAAGGTTGAGGAGCAGAGTCGACGTAAGGAGGTAGTTCTTGGAAGTCTGTATTCATGTATACGAAAAATACTAAACGGTACTAAATTTAGTACAAATTGAATTTGGAGGAACGGATGAAGCTAGAATTCTGAAATTTAAAATTAACACTACTGGCGGTTTATGTGCACAAATGGTACTAAATTTGGATTTGGGTCAACCGATTGAGGTGGAATTCTGAAATTTAGATATAAGATTACTATTGCTTTCAGGACTGAGGAATGAGAGTAGATTGGAAATCTACTTATGTGTACTAAAAGTTACTAAATTTGGTACAATTTGAATTTGGGTGAACCACCCTGATTATGGTTATAACTCAAAGGCCAAAGGAACTAATATATGAAAAAGATCTTCTCCCCTGAATCGATTTCTACTAAATTTGTAATACTCATTTGGTGAACGATTAACTTGAAATCGGATAAAGATATCTGATCCGATCTCAGAAAAATTTGTCAAAGCCATTTCTGAGCTGTATTTAATATATTTCGCCGAATATCGTTACTACTTCATATTGCATATTATGGCTGTGCAAGACAAACTCAACAAATAAGATGAACAATATGTATGCGGGCTATAGCTATATCTGAACCGATTTTCGCCACATTTGACATACTTTCTACTAGACTCAATTTGGCCGTAAACGCCAAATTCCATCCCATTTGGGCTAATATTACAAGTTTGGTGCACAACAAAAAGCAAAGCGGACGAAGAAGGGTTAAATAAAAAAACTGCAACAAAGTCAAACGCCATAATTTTTATTTTTTTTAAATTTTATTGAATGAAAGCAAATAATGTCGGAAATAGCATTAAATTTTAGAATAAGTTTAGATTTGCTCGAATTGGTTAACTTTGGCACGAATTGTGGACTTCAGACGGCCAATGAAACCGTCACATGCTGCCCGAACGTTGCTCTGCGGTATTTTGACCCATTCCCGGCGAAGCGCTTGCTTGAGGTGATCGACACTTTAGTACTTTTTAGTGCCAACCTTGCTTTCCAAAATACTCCAGACACCACAGTTCAACGGATTGGTATCCGGAGATTTTGGTGGCCATTGTGCGCTGGAAATGAAGCAAGGAACCTCATTTTGCAACCATTCTTGGGTGGCGCATGCTGAGTGCGATGGTGCTGAGTTCTGTTGGAATGTCCAAGGTCTGCGGCCAAAATATTTGCGTGTCCAAGGCTTTAATACACCCTCCAGAATATTTTCACGATAATATTCGGCATTTATTCCGATGCCACGGTGGATTAATACGAGCTGAAAGTGACCATCGGCTGTTATGGTGGCCCACATCATCACCATGGCCGGCGCTTGAGTTCTGGTGGCCAAACGAAGGTGCACAATTTCAGCTGACTTTTTCGGCACGTAAACACGATAATTTTGTCCAATTTACAAACTTCTGGACAACGAATGCTTTCTCATCGGAGAAAACCAAATTCGACAGTTCACCACTTTCGGCTAAGCTAAGCAACTCTTTAGCTCTTTTGAGTCTATTTTCTTCCTGTTGCGGTGTAAGTTCTTGCACTTTTTGGAATTTCAATGGTTTTACCCCGATCTCATTTTTCAATATTTGCCGAATCGAATATTGCGATATGATCAGCTTACGTGCCATTTTTCGGCCACTGCGATGCGGGTTCCGATCAAGTCGCTTCTTTACTTTTCGAACCATTTCTGTAGATGTTGCTGCTTTCTTTCGTCCATTTCCTTGACGTCGAGCTACGCTACCAATATCACGCTAATGAGCGATAGTACGAGACACAAAAGATTTATTCGCATTTAAATGCTGGAGTGCTCAAACGATAGCTACTTGTGGATTTCCAGCCAAATATAAAGAAATCACACTATCACACTTGAATTCCATCACGAATAACGTTTTTTTTTTTTTTTTTAGAAAATTCTCACCAAAATGCTTGTAAACAACATAATGAGCTGTCACTGTCACATAATTCTAAAAGTTGTCGGTCGAGTGGCTTCGAAATGACAACAGCCTGAAGTTGGTTTCATTTTCTTCATTTAACACTGTATGTGGGAGCTCTATCTAAATGTTGACCGATTATCTCCACTTTCAATAGAGTTCGTCTTTGGGTCAAACTAAACATTTTGTTCAGAATGTCACCTAGATCGGGCAATAAATGCGACCTGTACTTTGTTTACAAAAATTCATGGACAGACGGACGGACAGAAGGATATGCATATATCGACTCAAAATGTAACATCGAAAGGAATTATGGGTCTATCTTGTTTCCTTTTGCCTGCTAGTCTATATGTACAATTTCCGAATTATATCTCTATTCTTTCACCCAATTTACTGTTAAATAAAATCGGGTATTATATCGAGAGTTATCGTGCGCACCCGCCAGTCATCGATCCTGAAGCGGGTTTGGTCCAAGGAGACCTAGGGTCTAAATCGTTATTTCGATGAAGCCGTTTTGGCCGTATTAAACCGTCTCTAGCCATATGGCTGAAGGTATAAAAATATGAAAAACTCACTTTACACATGACCCTAACACAATGTGTAATCGAGCCTTTATGAAGTTTTCGACTAAGGTGTTTCTAACCAAATGACAATATTAATATTAACCGTTTTACAGCTAAATATAATCCAATGATCATCCAAAATGCTAGAATTCTTCCCTGTCCTTAACTCTCTTCACAGGCGTGTCGTTTGGCTTCAATTGTGTGATCGGAATAACATTTCTGTTTTTGGTTCATTTGAACCCCTAAATATTTTGCAATCATCTCCAAAAGCAAGAAGCCCCTCCGTATCTCCAAATTTAGACTCATCTATATGATTTGCTTGTCTACGATATTTGGTTATATTCGTCAACGAAATCAGCATAAAAAAAGCCAGATTTTCGCCTTTTGTGTATT